GGGCAACCACATGTGGACACAGTATTCAAGAAATGGGCATACCATGGATTTATATAGAGGCAAAATATCATATTTTCTGTCTTATTGTCTATCCCTTTCTTAATGATTCCCAACATTGTTTGCTTTTTTGACTGCCGCTGCACATTGAGTCAAAAAAGCGAACAGAATGTTCGTTGAGGTATACAGCAAATGAAAGCCCTCAGGGAAGTCTGAATATCGGAGCTTTGAAGAAATTAGAGTTTTGTTGAAACCAATCCTTTCCTGCACCAAGTTGTTGTAACTCCCAGAGCAATGGTGGGCTCATTCATCACTAAATTACTAATTACTAAGCCAAGTTTTAGAATTTGTTTTTCAGACTGGCAAGAAAAGAATAAGGCTATATCACAGAGATGGGAAATACACACTAGATAAAATTCATCCCCTCCTATAAAGGCAAGGTGTTAGTCAAAGCCTGTTGAAATCAATGGGAGTCTTTCCATTTACTTCAATGGGCTTTCAAACTAGACCCCTAGTCTCCCTGAAAGGGGATGTTACAGAGTAAAACAACTGGAGTCCAATTCAGCAAGACACATAAGGCCATGTCTAACTTTAAATCCATGAGTAGCCCCATTGGCTTCAATGGCACTGCTCACGTGCTTGAAGTTAGGCATGTGCTTATGTGCCTCACTGAACTGTGGCACTGGAAATAAATAAATTCATGGGGAATAAATAATACAGGGGACCCCAAAACTGCAATTATTTTAGTGCTTAAATCATATGTGGACTGGTAAGCACCTATATCTTTGCAATTCAATTATCTTTTGGAAGTACCATTGGAATATGGACCTTCCTGTCTGTCTGATGTGGAAGTTTGTCTTGGCTCCCTTGATACTGTTCCCACATGCACCTCCATCTGTTTGTCCCTCTCCTTTTCCAATGTGGATGTATATCTGAATGGTTGCCTCACAGCCTGAACATGGTGAAGTCAATTCAGATTTACTCAGGCTAGGGCATTTAGACTTTCTCCCAAATTACATACAGCTGGAAACTCACCACCACATTGTAACAGATCTTTCACACTCCAGCACTGCTGGGGAGGTAGTACAGGGGACATACTCTCCATGAAGGTTCCACAAAGCCTGCTCATTGGCCTCTGGGGACCATACAGGGGTGTTCTCCAGAAGCTTCAGGGCTGGTAGACAGGCCCTATGCTACCTCATACCCAGCCCCCAATGTACACACCTGCCACAGGCAGAAAGTAGTGTCTTTTTCTTGAGAGTTTGTCTACACGGGGCAATTGACCAGCACAGCTGCAGCAGAATAACTCTTCGACTATAGCTATTCCAGAATAACTCCCCACGTGGCCAAAATATCCTGAACAAAAATAGACTTTATCCTGGAATACTTACTCCACTTTTGAAGATGAGTAGTTATTCAAGAATTAAATTACTTGTATTTCAGAAGAGAATGCCTGCATAGGGAGTTATTCCAGAATAGCCAATGATACAATAGAGCACCAAGCATGCTCAAGAAGAGAAAAACTAGCATTGACTTTCAGATTTCAGGTTGAGTCTGCAGTGTTGGCTGTTAGAAAAGACACTTTCCACTTGCAAACTCTGCACATTTGATCAGGAATCATTGCCACAAAAGCATGAGCTGTCAATAGCTTTCAACAAGTATGTATGAAGTTAATAAAAAAAGCAGCACAATTTTAAAGTGTTCCTAACTAATTAAAACCTTCCACTTCCACCTCACAAAACCAAACAGAGGACCTAAACCTCACTCAGGGCTTGTTCAAAAAAAGTATGGGACCCCTGTGAGGCTATTCAATTGGGGGCCAGTTTGTAAGGACCAACAGTTTGTGTAGGTCCTTCTCCCTTCAACCTACCTCAAATAGCTATACCGGGGTAGGCAACCTATGGCATGCGTGCCGAAGGCGGCACGCGAGCTGATTTTTGGTGGCACTCACACTGCCCGGGTCCTGGCCACTGGTCCGGGGGGCTCTGCATTTTAATTTAAATTTTAAATGAAGCTTCTTAAACATTTTAAAAACCTTATTTACTTTACATACAACAATAGTTTAATTATATATTATAGACTTCTAGAAAGAGACCTTCTAAAAACTTTAAAATGTATTACTGGCATGCGAAACCTTAAATTAAGTTAGAGTGAACAAATAAAGACTCGGCACACCACTTCTGAAAGGTTGCCGACCCCTGAGCTACACCATGCCAGATGAAAGAGGTTGTGGTAGGGAGATTTTTAGACAAAAATGACAGTTGCACACCTATTTTTGTCTGAAAATCGCCTCTCTAAATCCCACATAGGGAGAATAAAGATTAAGCCTAAAATTGGGGGAAGAAAATAGGCACACAAGCCCCTAGTGGGCCCAGCTTATTCTCCATAGAGTCCTTCATCAGTACAAAGAGGTTGACTCCTCACACCAATCAACACTGGATCATCGACACTGATGAACAGCCCTCTGTGTCCTTGGTGAGGCAGACCCCACTGCCCCAAAAATATTCTAGGGGGCCCCTGCCATTGCAGAGATGGAAGCTTTGTCTGAACTAGCCTGGTCCTCAGTAAGGACTAAGCCCATAGCAAGTTTCACATCCCAGTCTTTTGTTGTTGTTTTTAAATGCACTAGCCCAGTCTATGGTTAGAATTATTAATTATTAGTAAATAGAAAAAGTGTGCAGGAAGGGGTTCACACGCTCAGAGCTCAAACAGCTGAAGGGATTTCACTCAAAACTTTTCAGATATATAAAACAACTTCTGACATTTATAACCATGTACCTCTAACAAGTGAAATATTGAGGAATATACAACCATCTGAAAAATAGGGAAGCAAAATGGATACGGTTTTGTGACCTCTACTGTAATGTGCATCAATAGATGACCATTATAAAATCAATAGCAATAGTAACATTAAAAGATTTTTATATCTGTGTACACACACACACACACACACACATTAATATATATATTATACACACACACACGTGCACACAGAGAAAACAGGTCCACCACAGGAAGTTTGAAAACTATTGCTTAACCATTTAGCACATTACGTCTCTATATATTTCACAATGGGTTGCTTCATTAATCATTATTTAACTATTAGTAAGCTGGAGGGAACGATTTACAGCAAACCTAAAAGAGAACACAGAAATGGTGAAGTCGTCATTCTTTGAGAGAGCGGATCTAGCCATATTTGGCCTACAAGGCCAACCTTGACAGACAAGTCTGTGACCCCAGGGCTTGAAATTGTATGGTGGACAGGAGAGTTTATTTAACATTCTTAAAGCTTTCTGTTTTGATTTGCTGTGAGGATTGTTGTGTATTTATGCCATTTTCATTTAAAATGTATCTTATAAGCGCTCTCTCTCTCAAGACAGATTACCACTCTAGAGTATAAGGATTTGTCTACACAGAGAAATTAATCCAGATTAAGATAGGGTGTGAATTTAAAGTATATTAAATATTCCTGATCAATGCCCTGTGTGTCCACTCTTATTCTGGAATAAAAGTGCTTTATTCCAAATTAAGATATTTCAGAATAAGGCACTCTGATTCCAAAATAAGAGCATCCAAACAGGGAGTTGATCAAGAATAGCTATTTTGGAATAACTCCCCCTGTAGATAAAACCAAAGAGAACAGTAAACGTCCTTCCAGAATTATTCACCTTTTCCTTCCCATTGTTAAAATGCAATTTTACTTAAGTAGTAATGTCTCTTTTTCTGATTAAAATATTCTGATTAAAGTAAAATATTAAAGTATTTTATCCATAGCAGTGTAAGAGATCAAAAGGTCCATTACAATGGCCTAGAACAGTGGTTCTCAAACTTCTGCATTGGTGACCCCTTTCGCACAGCAAGTCTGAGTGCAACCCCCCTCTCCCTTATAAATTAAAAACACATTTTTAATATTAAACACTATTATAAATGGAGGAGAAGTGGGGTTTGAGGGTGGAGGCTGATGGCTCGCAACCCTGCATGTAATAACCTTGTGACCCCCTGAGGGGTCACAACCCCCAGTTTGAGAACGCCTAGCCTAGAATATACATTTTTTGTATGTCACCAGTAGTTTTATCAAGAGGTAGAAACAGCAATAAACCAAGTTTGGTACACAATGTGTCAGGGTCACAGATAAACAGTGCAGAATGGAACGCACAGCAAAAAAGGGGGAGGGAAGTAGGTGTGGAGAGGGTGTTCCTAAATGTCTGCAACTAGGAACAATTCTAAATGCTCCCATATATATTTTGATTTCTTATGCCATCTTTCCCAGGGCCACAAAGCAAGCACAAAGTTTAGACATTGTTGTGATTTGTTTTCCAGCACTTGTTAGTGTTAGACATGTCAACTTAGAGACTGATACCTCACAGGCTGTACATATAGGATGAGATTTTGTTAACATAAATAAATCTATATTTACAAATAATTGTTAGTGCCTCCTCCATCAATACACATTTAAACTTTCACCCTGGCTCAAAAGCACAGCGGTAACTTTCACAGTTTAGGTTTCCTTCTCTGGTAGTGTAGTTGCTCTTGGAATTGGTCCCTAGCAATGATTTGCAGGGAGAAAGAAAATAAAGCCATCCTGCTACAAACTATAGGAAAGAAAATTTCTCTGATAAGGGGATTAGTCCCAGCCTGAAGGATTAGGAATCATGGTATCAGCAACCCACTGAGTTACATGATCACGTGGAAACACATTAAAGTATCCTTATGTTTTAAAAGTTTTCCTTTGTGCTCATGATCTGACACACTCCTTTCTGGGTTCAGTTTTGTTTTAATATGGCAAAACAAGTATTTTTAGTATTAAAAATCGCTTGTACTGCTTCCTCATTTCAAGTTGTAACAAGTACACTTTAAAACTATATCAAAATGATCACATCTGTTAACTCCCCCCTCTGGCTAAGCTAATTTTTTCCCTTGGTAACCTGACAAAATAAGTAGCAGTTTAAAACAAAATTAAAAAAAAAAAAAAAAACAGACCAAGAATTAGTTGTATTGCTTACAGTTTCAATGCTACATCAGACCCCTCTGAGCTTGTACATCCCTCTTGCTTTCTAGGCAGGATCCTTTTTTTCATTGCTTGGATAGAGAAGTTTTCATTCGTAATAAATGGGTGGAGCTGAAGTGTCAGCTGATCTATTACAGCTGTCTCTCTGTTAAGGTGGTACTGAGATGTAAGCAAGCAAAGAGCACTTTGCAGTAATACTTATGAACATTGTTTGATACTTTGCATGGAGAAAAATTGCAAGGAGTGAAAGCACAGAGAATCAGAGACATCTCAGCACCAAGGACAAACTTTAGTGATCCACAGTATGACAGAGTTATCATATTTAACAATTACCAAGTGATAACTTAATATACATATGCAAACAGCTAAAAAAAGCCTTTGGTGATTGATGGGCATGATCTGAGGTGAAGGCCTTTCAGAAGAACGAACAAGGAGCTGAAGTTTGTAAGACAGTCTTAAGGAAATGCTGTCAAATACAAAACAAGTGCCTCAAACTCTGGTGATATTGCCTCATTTCTTATGGAAAGAGTATTTGCAAGTGATAATTTGCAGATACTCATTTACAACACTGTTCATCTTTATAGATCATCTACATCGGGGTGGGCAAACTACGGCCCGCAGGCCAAATCCGGCCTGTCAGGGCTTTGGATCCAGCCCGCGGGATTGCCCCCCGTGGTATCGTGGGCCCTGCGCCACTCTCAGAAGCGGCTGGCACCACGTCCCTGAGGTTCCCAGGTGGGGGGGCAGAGGGCTCGTGCGTTGCCCTTGCCTCCAGGCACTGCCCCCCGCAACTCCCATTGGCCGGGAACAGGGAACCATGGCCAATGGGAGCTTTGGGCGAGGTACCTAGAGGTGCAGCAAGGACAGCGCATGCGGAGCCCTCTGCCGCCGCCCCCCGGGGCTGCAGCGCTTCCTGGAGCAGGAAGCCTGCCCTGGCCCCGGTACACGCCGCTGCCACCCCGACGCCGCTTTAGCCAGGGCTGGAGCCGGAACCCCTCCTGCACCCTGCCCCCAACTCCCTGCCCTAAGCCCCCTCATACACTCCACACCCCTCCTGCACCCCAACCCCTGCCCTGAGCCCCCTCCTGCACTCCGCAATTGCACAACACTGGAAGCTTATTTACACATAAACTTGCATTAAAATAACTAATTTGTTTTAAATCAGACCTTTTGTTACTTTATGACAAGTCTGTGTGAGGACACATTTCAAAATAAGTATCCTATTTTTATTAATATTTGTATTACCGTAGCACCTATCAGCCCTAGTCATGGACCAGGACCCTGTTGTGCTAGGCACTGTACAAACAAAACAAAAATGGCCTTTGCCCCCAAAGAGTGACATTTTTAGTAATTTATAGCATAGTTTTCAAGAACAGGTAAGCAACATAAGCAGCTATGGGCAATGTCCCTTCAACTTTCAGTGTAAGTTTCTCCAAATTTACACAGCAACCTTAAGTGTTTCACCGTTTGCCAGTGTTCATGCAGGGACCTAAGTTTTCTGACCCACAGCCTAGCCACAGGCTTTGGCCTTGGATCAAGCACTCAGGAGATTTCTCAGACTTTGAGGACTGCCTCCAGACTCTCATGGCTACCGGCAACACAATTGGAAAAGACAGCTCTTGAAACCCGTCACATTAAATGAAGTGACATTTATGTGATGTCTTTATCCACGTGGCCAAATTAGAGAGACAAATAGAAATGGTGTGTAGGAGATTTAATCAGATAACAGTAAAATCTCTGGGTTTTTTGAGATACTACACTAGAGCATTTATTACTTTCAAAAAGTAGTATTTGCTTAAAGCTCGAGTTTCAAAGCAAACACAAAGCTCCTATGCCTATTTACATATGAAAATTATTGCTGTTTTACTCAGTCAGTTTTCCATTGTCAGCTGTCCCCTGGCATGTATGCATTACAATGGGGTCTTATTAAGTAAACCACAGCACCCATCATCCAATCTCCTATAACTCCACTGGCTCCCTACTTGGTTTATAATTCAGGTTATAGTTATATCTTTAAAGAGGTGTTAAAAATATTTTTATTTTTGCAGTATCACGACCATCAAAACCTCTTATTGTCTGGAGCACTCCCAGGTGGTATAGTAGTGCCTCTACAGGCTGAAACCTGAGTGCATCATTTCTAGCCCTCAGAGTTTTCAGATGGGCTAAACACCCACAATTGGGGCCAGATTCTCAAGAGCTCAGCTCCTATTTAGGCACCAAAACAAAGAGCCAGACTTTCAAGAGTGCTCAGCCTGTTGGACGTTGAGCTTTTTCAAAAATTTAGCCAAGAGTTTGATAATGGGAGCTGCTGGATGCAGAGTATTTTTTAAAGTCTGGCCCTTATTTAGATGCCTAAATAAGAGCTGAACTCCTTTGAAAACCTGGTCCCAAAGGGGTGAGGATAACAAAAAAGAGGGTCTTAGTATTGGTGAATAAAAAATATGACCCCACTAAGCACAGCAAACTGAAGGGTATGTTTTCTTAAGCCAAAAATAAAAAAAAAATAAAAAAAAGTACCCACATTCTCCATCTGAGGTGCACAGAAATGTACAAAATTAACAACATTATTAAACAACATGCAGCAAATTAGCCACCACCTCCCTGTCACAACCAAGTTTCCCCAGTCTCGCATATCCCCAGATGTCTGTAATATGATAGAGGTGCAAGGAAACTCAAGCAGCTACCTTTGAATTAGCTTTATGTCCCACCTGGAGGGTGAAAGCCTGTAGGAATAAGTGATTGTCGGTGCTCCTTGAAGAAGGGAAAGCTATAATAGCTTCTCTTTAAACAACACATCTTAGGCCTTCATTCAGAAACAGTCACTTGACATGGATGGCCTCTCTATTCATTGTCCCATGTCCTATCTTTCCATTTTTGAGGAATATTGTGAAGAAAATTGCAGCAGGACAGCTCCAGCACTAGGTACGGTTTGGGTCCCTTTGCCTCCTTCTATGTGATTTTCGGCTGCAGATGGTGGTTTTGGCTGGTGAGCTCCTTCAATAACACGGGGGAGGGGGTGTTTGGGGCATATCCATAGACCTCAGATGGTGTTGCTCTTGAGTGGCTCTACTTTTTTCCCCCCCGATCTGTGCCTAAAAGCTTGTCTTCATGGACAGTGCTACAGCTGCTGTAGCGCTTTAGTGAAGACGCTGCTATGCCAACAGGAGAGCTTCTCCCATCGATGTAGTTATCCATCTCCCGAGAGGCAGTTGCTATCCCGTCAGCATAGCACTGTCTACACAAGGGGTTAGGTCAGTATAAATACATCACTATGGATTTTTCATTCCTCTGGGTGATGTTGTTATACTGATATAGGCCTGTAATGTAGACCTGGCCTAAGATTGTTATGGCAGAGCTAAGAGTCAGGCAGAGATAGAAGCAGAGAACTCAGCAGTCTCAGGCTTAAACACAACACCCTGTCTGGGGATTCAGATTTACTCAGAACACAAACTTAGTACCATTTCTAGCTATATTCCTTCCATGCAGCTTTACAGTCAGTAAACCCCAAAACAAAGTTACAAATCAATAAACAAGGTAGTTCTTAGGATTCATCAATGCTGCCTGTCCTGGTTTTCAGCCACAACACCCGGATCTTGGTCCCCACAGGAATAACCAGCCCTTCTCTAAAGTGCTGCATCTAAGTAGGGGGGGAAATATCAATTGTCACCTGTCTTTGCTGCTTTGTGATGCACAAAGAAAGTCTGAGAGAGTTTTATTTCTGGTATGAAAGTTTTTTCTTTTTAATGTATTAGAAATGTCAGGTCTTTTCTGCCTTACTTCTCCTACAGGACTGAAGAGCCAATAGATTTAGGTCAGGATAAACAGCAAGCTAAAGTGACCAGACTATCAAAATGACAAAGGACACCCATTATACCCCCATTCCCCAGTACAGAGCTCATTCCCCACACTTATTACCTCCTAAGCTCATGCTGCCGCCAGCTGATCCCTACTACTGCCATCTAGTGATGCCAGTGCTGATGGCTAGGTGCTATTTCCTATAGGTTAACTGATGGTGCCAGTATAACCCAATGGATGGTATATGCTGTGTGTCCTGTTTTGTGCCCAATCCATATAGAGGATATGGGGCTGTTACAGCTCCCAGTTTGGGAGCTTGGCTCTTTTAGTTCAAGCCATAGAGACTCATGCTTTTAGCCACAGAGGTGAGGTGACAGTATTGACAAAGATGGAGATTGTCCCAGCAGGCACAAACTTTGGTGGTGATACTGGCTGTACTATTGTAGTTGCTCTCTGAGAGCTGAGAAGAATGGCCTCCCAGAGCCTGCAGCAGCAGTCCTGCTGGTGGGGAGGACTATGGGGAGCTGCTAAACATAACACAGGTCACATAAATGTCTCATAAGGCTCCAAATATCCAGAATGGACCACTGGAAAAGTCAGGACATCTAACCGCTTATCCAAGGAAAGGAACCTGATTGTGTGAGGAAGGGATATATTTCAGATTGTTTAGAGGCCTTTGGGTTTGGTTTCTCTAACACAAATGCCTAACAAAGAGATGGAAGAAAAGAGCACTCTCTGTTAAAGATTGAAATACACACACACACACATTCAGTTAAGGGTTTACCGAGCTCCTAATCTAAATCTCTGGGTCTCCATGAGGAAACAAGACTTGACAGACCTGATATTCCCAAGGTAAAAATACAACTTTTTCCAGGAGAAAGAGCATCAGAACAAAAAAAATCCAAACCCTTTCAGTCCTTTTTATAGATCATAAAGAATAAAAAACAGACACAAACCCAACACTGCACGTCTTTAGAATCACCTCTACTGAGGCCCACACACTATTTGGATATAAATGCATAGCCTGCAGAGATCCAGTTAAATCCCCACCTCCAGTTGCATTCTCAAGTAGCAGCAGTTGTCAAAAGCACCTCTTATCATCTGCACTTGGCAGAACACATTGCATTTCTTACTTTGGGATGCAGACATCACCAGGGTTATCCCTATCTTAATCACCTGCCATTACTCTTCTTGGTATCAAACCTTCAGATCCATCAGAAGATGCAGCGGATTCATAATGAGTCAGACTGTTAAG